ATCGCCGACAGCTCCAGATATTTAGCATGCCAAATATTTTACAGGCATCGGTGATGTGTCGGCGATTCCCTCAGATCGTGTCTTTGATAATTCACACCGCGTGATTGTCACTCGCATGAACAAGCACCGATTTTCCTCAGATTTCAGGCATTTGTCGGCGATTGAGTGAAAAATCGGGCTAAAATCGTGCATCCTCGCTCCTCCGTCCTCCATCCTACGACCCGGAAACCGATCGAGCTCAGCCATCTTGAAGGACATCTCAATTCTCTAATTGCACCGCGAGGAGGCGAGGATCGAGGAGTGAGGAGGCTTCCTGAGGAGTCATGAGCGAGGATACACATATTTATTATGTGTCTTAAATAACAAACTTTAACAACATGAGGGCAGATCCCTTTAGCCCAGCTGATGAGGCTTTGAAGTGATGCTAAAGGGAGCGAGGATATATAATTTCACTTGATTCAATTCCTCCATCCTCGTGTCTTTTCCTTGCGTCCTTCCCTCGTGTCCTGAAGGGTACAATGACTCAAGAGGTAACAACAATTTGTACAATTCTGAAAAAGTAATTTCTCAAATACATTTTGAGTACTTATTTTGTTATTATTTTCCTTTATTCACTCCAGGATTTGGGAATATCTCACCTCACACAGAGGGTGGACACATCTTCTGTATTATCTTTGCCCTGTTGGGAATTCCTCTGTTTGGATTCTTGCTGGCAGGAGTGGGAGATCAGCTTGGAACAATCTTCGGAAAGGCAATTGCTAAAGTGGAGGGGATGATTGATGTGAGTTAAAGCAGTCTTTTATATCTATATATGTATGCATTGACATTAACTATTAGTACAGTCAGTCCAAAATCATTTTACATTTATGTAATTTACATCAGACATGACATCAGAAGTGAGTACAGATGATTCCTAATTGTAAAGTTGACAAGTATGTCCTATTGCTTTAAACAACCAAAAACAAACACTTAAGGAAGACTATATTGAAGATACAGGTCCTAAAGTATAAACTCAATGCAACAAAAGTCAGTAGTGCCCAGTCCTATTCCTGGAGATTACCTTTATGCAAAGTTCAGCTCCAACCCTGATCAACCACACATGAACCAGCTAATTAAGATCTTCATGAGCACCTGATTAATTCAAGACAGGTGTGTTGGAGTAGGACTGGACATGAACTCTGCAGGTAGATACAGTAATGCCGAGTTCACACTGCACGATTTTCAAACTCGTCGGAAGCATTCAGTTGCTGCTGTGTTCACACTGCACGATGGATCGGCGACAAGGGGTTTCACATTGCATGACTTCACAATAGGAAGAATCGCCGACAGCTCTGTCTGGTGCAGGGTTGCCAGGTTTTCGCTACAAAACCCGCCCAATTCCTACTCAAAACTAGCCTGAAAATAGCCCAATTGCTTTCGAGGGGGTCCCCCAGTAAAAATCGCATTCGGGGGTAAAATACAAATTTTTTTGGCGGGGTTCTCCTGGTACAATTCACATTCCAGGGCCTAAATATCACGTTATTGGGGTCGCTTCAACCTGCTGACATAAAAAACAACCGGCAGCAATCGCGGATTTGGCAACACTGGTCCGCAAACTACGTTTCATATAACTCCTCCCCGAACTTCCTGCTGCCCTGTATCTTGTTCTCTCATTGGCTGTAGGTCATTGCTGATGTGTTTTTCAGTCAGAACTTATTTCACACAGCGTGATTGTGAATCGCCGACAGCTCCAGATATTTAGCATGCCAAATATTTTACAGGCATCGGTGATGTGTCGGCGATTCCCTCAGATCGTGTCTTTGATAATTCACACCGCGTGATTGTCACTCGCATGAACAAGCACCGATTTTCCTCAGATTTCAGGCATTTGTCGGCGATTGAGTGAAAAATCGGGCTAAAATCGTGCATCCTCGCTCCTCCGTCCTCCATCCTACGACCCGGAAACCGATCGAGCTCAGCCATCTTGAAGGACATCTCAATTCTCTAATTGCACCGCGAGGAGGCGAGGATCGAGGAGTGAGGAGGCTTCCTGAGGAGTCATGAGCGAGGATACACATATTTATTATGTGTCTTAAATAACAAACTTTAACAACATGAGGGCAGATCCCTTTAGCCCAGCTGATGAGGCTTTGAAGTGATGCTAAAGGGAGCGAGGATATATAATTTCACTTGATTCAATTCCTCCATCCTCGTGTCTTTTCCTTGCGTCCTTCCCTCGTGTCCTGAAGGGGAGGATGCACAAATAAGAATTGAGAAGCACCCTATTTCTATCTCCAGAAATAGGATTGGGCACCCCTGAAAAGTGAATACACCTGTGAGTGAGTACATCTGTGATTTCCTAACTGCATGAACATGTCTGCATTGTGGCTCCATAGAGGAATTAAAATATCTGATTTTAAGACTTAATAAAAATGTAAAAGAATACAGGTAAATTGGTTACAAATTAAAAACAGTCGAAACACAATTGCAGCAGAAATCAGAAGGTACAAATGAGCAATATTACCATTAATCCGAGCCACAGTGGCCATCCTCCTAAAATAATTACACAGGCAATGTGCTACTTGCACACTTGCACAATCTTGCTCTGAAAAACAGACAGGCAAGTGCTTCAGACCCAGCTCAGGGTTTATTAATATAAATCTGAATTTCTGTAACCGCTCAGACACTGCATTTCTTCACATATATCCCTCATGTATTCTATCTTTCTCTACTCCTTCAGGAGATTTGTAAAGTGCATGAGTAGCTATATGTCACATCACATTCCCAACACTGCAGACCATCCCAGTCTTCTACCCATGCACTGTCCACAGCCCTTCACAGCTAATAAAGTCACTTTCAGCTTTTCTAAACTTGCTCCCTTTTGACTTCCTGTGTGTACAGCATGATCAAAGGCAGCACAGATGGAAGCACACTGTCTTCACTAAGTGCTCTTGCTACTCATTGATCAAACATGTTACACTTAATTAATTGTATTTTAATTTGGTCTGTTCAGGAGTTCATGAAAGCCATTTCATTAAAACAGGTCACATTTCTCAAAGTGGACACTTCAACTAGATAGCGGATAGATTTTTCACTTAATACGTAACACAATAACTACCGAATATTAAACTATTAAAATGAGTCAGAGAATGAGAACCATCAGAAATATAAATAACTGATTGAGATATGTGACAAAACCTTTCCCACAATTTAATCGGCTGTTACATTTTCAAAATACCTGTTTATAATAACACACATCACACATGATAACTAGAGTGCTCTTAACACAAATGCACCATTTCGTCTTCTCATCATTTCGTTAAAAATCATGACATTGCATGTTTAATTACTCCCCCATCCTGACAGCATAATGCAATATCTATTAAGTATTTATTTAACTTAGGGCGCTGCATTCTGAGGGTCTTTATTATTCAATATTTCATATTGCCTTCTTTTTACAATTATATTTATAAATATCACATGGTTTTGACAGGAACAGGCATTTGTAGTCTTGATACTTGAATATGCTCTGTATTCCATATTTCACCTATGAATTCAGTAATGTCACATATGCTTGCCATGATTATAAGTGGGTCCTATTAGTTTGCAACGCTAGGATCACAAAATGCGTAAAGCATATGGAAATCCTGCTGAAGTCAAAGTAGGTTTGTTGACATTTATCATTCATGTGGCCAGTAAACCGTAAAACAATTTCAGAAATGTAAAAATTACAGTAGTTGTAGTGTGATATTGACCCATACTGAGTGACACACAATGAAAAAAAAAAGTACTTTCTCACAATTTTTTGAGAAATAGCAGAAGCAGCTGGAGATTGCAACCCAGACATATCTCTGAACATCTTGAACTATTAATCCTAAATAATTTGCTTTTTCATAAACCTTTTTTTTTTCATGTATGCTTGTTTTGTCCCTGGAAGGACTAGGTCAGTGTTTTTATTAGTACTCCCTAATGCAATTAATTTAAAGGTGCACTCAGTGGGTGCTTCTTACTATGCTAATAAATGTTTCCTCGCTCCCCCATCCTGTGACCAGAAAATACATTGTCTGCCATCATGAAGGATGTATTAATTCTGTAATTGCACCACAGTTGACCTTACAACAGCATGTTACTTAATCATGGCCATTGCTTTTCAAGGGAAGGTACTTTATCTATATCTATCACAAAATGATGTTACACGATGGCTTGTTCACTGATGTACCGGATGATTTTGGAATAAATTACTTCAAATGCAGTTTATCACTGCAAGAAAAAAAATCACAAAGCTAGATACATAAACACTTTCAGAGACAAATGTCCCAGCTATTGCTAAATTTACCATTAATGTGTGGTATAACAACTCAATCAGCTGACAAAGACAATTAACTATCGGTGGCAAGACACTGTCAAAAGATCTCCGGGATAAAGTTGTGGACAGGCACAAGTCAGGAGATGGATACAAATTTTGTAAAGCTTTTATCAATGCCTAGAAGCACAGTGAAGTCTGTTATTAAGAAGTGGAAGGTATTTGGTACAACACAGACCCTTCCTGGATCAGGACGTCGCTCCAAACTGGATGAAAGAACTGGAGGAAACTGGTCAGAGAGGCAACCAAGAGGCCGACAGCAACTCTGAAACAGCTGCAGGACTTTATAATAAAGAGTGGCCATTGTGTGCATGTGACAACAATATCACAAATTCCCTACAAATGTGGCTTGTATGGGAGGGTTGCAAGAAAAAAGCCACTCCTCAAGAAAGGCCACATGCAGTCACGACCGAGCTTTGCCAAAACACACCTTGAAGATTCTGAAGCAGATGAGACTAAAATTGAATTATTTGGCCTATTAACACCAAACAATATGTCTGACAGAAATCCAATACAGCTCACCATCCAAATAACAGCATTCCTCCAGTAAAGCATGGAGGAGGTGATCTCCTGTTATGGGGAGTTTCTCTGCAGCAGCAGAGACTGGAGCACTTGTCAGGATAGAAGGAAAAATGGATGAGGAAAACCTGCCTTCTGCCACAAAGTTGTCAATGGGAAGAAGGTTTACCTGGAATATTGCTTTCAGAGGTGGATGGCTGCTATTTGGGAACGCAGTCGTGACTTCCTGCTGCCCTGTATCTTGTTCTCTCATTGGCTGTAGGTCATTGCTGATGTGTTTTTCAGTCAGAACTTATTTCACACAGCGTGATTGTGAATCGCCGACAGCTCCAGATATTTAGCATGCCAAATATTTTACAGGCATCGGTGATGTGTCGGCGATTCCCTCAGATCGTGTCTTTGATAATTCACACCGCGTGATTGTCACTCGCATGAACAAGCACCGATTTTCCTCAGATTTCAGGCATTTGTCGGCGATTGAGTGAAAAATCGGGCTAAAATCGTGCATCCTCGCTCCTCCGTCCTCCATCCTACGACCCGGAAACCGATCGAGCTCAGCCATCTTGAAGGACATCTCAATTCTCTAATTGCACCGCGAGGAGGCGAGGATCGAGGAGTGAGGAGGCTTCCTGAGGAGTCATGAGCGAGGATACACATATTTATTATGTGTCTTAAATAACAAACTTTAACAACATGAGGGCAGATCCCTTTAGCCCAGCTGATGAGGCTTTGAAGTGATGCTAAAGGGAGCGAGGATATATAATTTCACTTGATTCAATTCCTCCATCCTCGTGTCTTTTCCTTGCGTCCTTCCCTCGTGTCCTGAAGGGGAGGATGCACAAATAAGAATTGAGAAGCACCCTATTTCTATCTCCAGAAATAGGATTGGGCACCCCTGAAAAGTGAATACACCTGTGAGT